GGGAAGCAGAACACCAGATGATTTGGAATCAGCCTCTTTAGAAACACATCAAGCACCTGACAGGGGCTTGGCCCACCTGTCTTTAAATAATTCCTACAATTCCGAGAGAGGAAAATATTTCCCTCCTTTTTAGGTGCGCTGTTCCACCACTGAAGAGCTCTACCCCAAGGAACCTTGCCTTCGAGTGTTTTGACTGGACCTCGAGGCATTCCACTTGACCCCTCTCCTAATTCTTGAATAATCTGCATATGGCCCAACTTGTCTCTGGGAGTTTGGGGGACCGAGATGGGAGAAGCTCTGCCACTACCTGACAGAGATCTAGTATATCGCCGGAAGCCTCAATGTCAGTGTCCGTAAAACAAGGATGCAACCGTAAGTAGATCTAACATGGTTTTGCGAAAGAACAAAATGAGATAAAGGATAAAGAAAAAAAACTCTGTAAATTGTAAAGCGCTATTTGTTTCTTCTAATAATTTTTAAACGTCAGACCACACATATTCATAGCGGCTATAATCTAACACGCCCACTAACTTGCAGTCTCAGAGTACGTATGTCAGAGTGTCGGCACCTAATACAGGACGTGGAGCCTGCTTGGGGGGCCCCTAGGGTCCAGATAAACTTTACCACCCAGGACCGGTCCCGGGACCCTCTCTGCCGGAGCTTACCTGAACCACTTTAGTGAACTCCTCATAAACCCGCTTTTTAAGGTGCGCCGCCATGGCTGCCCCCGAGCCCTTTCGGCCTCCGTACACAACGACGTAGGCGGGATAGAATAAGCGGAAACCCTTCTCCCGGAAGGAACCCGCCGCGATCCCACAAGGCCGCGGGGTTTCAGGAAAGAGGACTCTTCTTGCCGCTCCGCTGCCGCCCGGCTCTGCTCGCAGATTTAGCTAGCTGCTTTGACTCTACCGGTGGAGGAACGAAAAGGAGAGCTCTGCATGGAGGAGGCGGAGCTTCCGGAGGGAGAAAGGAAAAGAAGGAGGTTAAAAGGAAGAGGCGGGACGAGCCTCAGCTAGAGAGAAAACCTGGAGCTGCTTCAGTGCCATAATCTCAGAATTAAGGAAAGATGCTGAGATGTTTGAACCTTGAGGGTCGTTTTAGTTCAAACTGTGCTCCACGCCTACCCTACCCTGAGGTGCCTTTTCCTGCTCCCTCCCTCTTTTACTGCCAATCTAGCCCAGGAAACTTCACTGGTTCCCAGAATGGCTGAATTTGACCGCCCGACCTCATAAGAAATAAGCAAATAATTTTAATTATATGCAGTTTGATCAAACTAGGGATAAGCAGCTATATTGATTATACCCCATCCTACAGAAGCTGTTAAAATTTATAGAAACAAAAGTCAGTTTGTGCTAGACAGGACTTGTCAAGGGGCAGTTACTGTTCTCAGTTTCCTTGGAATCCCCCAGGCCAGGGGAATGGACAAACCTTCAGCCTTTACTCTCAGTGTGAGAAAATGGAGGATGCAGAAAAAGTTAAGGAAGTTGTCCTTAATGTCAATCTGTTTCAACTCCAGATATCCAAGTTACCCATCTTTTAAGGAATCAATATCTCGTCTGAGAGCTGGGGTACAGGATCAAGCAACAAAGTTTCAGAGTCAGGCACTGGCATTTGAACAAGTGGCTTCAACCATAAGTGTGTTTAAAATGCCTAAATTGAGCTGGGCACAGTGGCCCATGCCTGTAATCCCAGCGGCTCAGGAGGCTGTGACAGGAGGATCACAAGTTCAAAGCCAGCCTCAGCAATTTAGTGAGGCCCTAAGCAACTTAGGAAGACTCTGTCTCAAAAAATAAAAAGGGAATGGGGATGTGGCTCAGTGGTTAAGCACGCTTGAGTTTAATTCCTGGTATTTAAAAAAAAAAAAAAGTTAATATGGTTCACTTGAATAAAAATGGGAGGCTGGAAGGTACAGAAGACTCCAAATGCATGAAAGATGTCTACCCTCAGAGTCCTCCAACCTAATTTGAAAAACAACAAAATTTATTGTTTCAAGATAACCTAAGTGTGTTGGATAAAAGACTGGTTCAGACCTAAATTTCTTCAGGGTGTGTCAGAAGAGATTATTTTACAGCCAGTTTTGGTGGTACACGTGATCTGTAATCCCAACTACTGGAGGAGGCAGGAGGATTGCAAAGTCAAAGCCAATCTAGGCAATTTAGAATATGTCTCAAAAGGGCTGGGGATGTGGCTCAAGCGGTAGTGCGCTCGCCTGGCATGTGGGCGGCCCAGGTTCGATCCTCAGCACCACATACAAACAAAGATTGTATCCGCCAAAAACTAAAAAAAAAAAAAAAAAAAGTATGTCTCAAAAATAAAATGAAAAAGGTACTGGGGTGTAGCTTGGTGGTAGAGCACTGCCTAGCATGTGTGAGGTCCAGGGCTCAGTCTCCAGCATCATTTACAAATATAAATACACGCCCCATATCTATTTCTCAGATCTGACATTACTAGTCACCAATCGTCCACTCTTGAACTAGCTAGGTCTCTGGCAAACTAGGAATGGGCCTGGGTTTTTAGTCCTTAAGGATCACCTTGCAAAGGGGGAAAAAAAAAAAAAAAAGGCACAGCAGGAAAAGGTAGAGAAGGATGGAGGAAATAAGTAGAAAATGTTTTAAAAGTAGCAAAGGAGTATCCTAGAATAACAGTGTAAACCTGAAAATGTGATGTGATGCAGTCCTATGAACTAGGGTGTCTTATAAATATTGTTTTTTCTTTGGATTGTAATGGCAACTATGTTTCAAATTCAATTTTAAGTTTTCATCTTCTAATTTTCGTTGTTGTACGGAGGATTGAATCCAGGGGGTGCTACCACTGAGCCAGATCCCCAACACTTTTTTTTGGTGGGGGAGAGGGAGTACTGGGGATTGAATTTAGAGGCACTATACCACTGAGCCACCATCTCCAGCCCTATTTTGTATTTTGTTTAGAGACAGGGTCTCACTGAGTTGCTTAGTACCTCACTAAATTGCTGAGGCTGGCTTTGAACTCACCATCCTCCTGCCTCTCCTCCCCAGCCACTGGGATTACAGGCATGTGCCACCACCCCTGACACTTTTTATTTTTTATTTTTAGTTAGGTCTATACACTGATCTGCGCCATACAGTAATTTCTACTCCTCGATCAAATTGGTGATTAGGACAAGGCCATGACTTTAAATTAGACGATTGATCCCTCAGTGTGGGGTAGATCAGTAAATTGTCCTTCGTCTTAAATTAATGAAACTCTATAATAGTAGTTTTCAATCTGAACTGTACAATGGAATTATCTGAAGGAACTTTGAAACACATTCTTACCTGGGCTCTGCCTCTAGAAATTCTGATTTATTTCTAGGGTTCCCTGAGTATGGCCTGGACATTGGAGAATTTGAACTCTCTCCAGGTGATCCTGAAGGACAACCCAAATTGAGAACTGCTGCTCTAATTCTGAGCAATCATTAAGGGATTGGTAAACTTCTCAAGAAAAACAACTTATGAGGTCTTACCAGAGTTGGAAGAGACTTGTATTATCATTTGAGACTGAGAGAGTCAAGCAATAGGATGAGCCAAAAAAAAGGGGTTCCCCTACCATGGAGACTGGACTTTTTTCTCAAGAATAATACATTAAAAAATACTTGGTACAATGGTACATACCTACAGTCCAAGCCACTTGGGAAGCTGAAGCAGAGAATCCCTTGAGCCTAGGAGTTTTAGGCCAGTCTGGGCAACATAGAGAGATCCTGCTTCAAATACATGGACAATAACCATAAAAAAATAAAAAAGTGGGTACTTGACATGGACACACCCATAATCCCAGCTACTCAGGAGGCCAAGGAAGGAAGATTGCAAGCCAATCTGGGAAACTTAGTTTTGTCGTGGAGTGGAATGGAACAGAGGAGAATGGAATGGAGGGATGACATGTAAATCAGTGGTAGAGCTCTTGCATAGCATTTGGGATGCCCTGTGTCCAACCCCCAGTACCACAAGACAAAAAGAAAACTTGAGTCAGGTGTGGTGGCACAGACCTGTAATCCCAGCGGTTTGGGAGGCTGAGGAAGGAGGATAGCAAGTTCAAGTTCAAAGCCAGCCTCAGCAATTTAGCAAGGTGCCAACAACTCGGTGAAAACGTGCCTCTAAATAAAATACAAAATAGGGCTGTGGATGTAGCTCAGTGCCTCTGAGTTCAACCCATGGTACAAAAAAAAAAAAAAAAAAAAAGAAAGAAAGAAAACTTGGTTACACAAGCAATCCAACAACCCCAAACCTGGAGTTTCCAAAGGAATGGGCTAAATCACCTTTGTAGGTTGTAAATATTAGAGAGAATTGCTCAGCCTTTTGAAGAATTGCAAGGTACAGAAAATTTTAAGTGTTCCCAAGAAGTCAGGCTCCAAACCTGACAGAAGCTTTTGGATTTTGTTTGAAATATATGACAGAGGCACTACAGCAGGTAAAGGTATCATGAAAGGAAGAAATAAAATATTTTGGGGGCTGGGTATGTGGCTCAAGCGGTAGCACACACGCCTGGCATGCGTGCGGCCCGGGTTCGATCCTCAGCACCACATACAAACAAAGATGTTGTGTCCGCCAAAAACTAAAAATTAAATATTAAAAAAATTCTCTCTCTCTTTAAAAAAAAATATATTTTTGTGTAAGAGCTGGATATAGACATTTTTGGTCCCATAAGGGGGCAAAGCCAGACATCTCTGGGCACATATAGTCTCTCTTGAGTGGACTCCTGGATCTGTCCCAACAGAACAACCATTCCAAAGGAAAAAGAAACAAATTGAAGGTGAGCTGGGGAGGCAGTAGGGTGAAGAATTCATCTCAATTTGCTTGGGACCTTCTGATTTTGGGTTATGGAGTCCTGTGCCTCAGGAAACCTTTCAGTCCTGAAGAGTTTGCCAAATTACAAGTCAAGGGTGGGGGCCATGTGTCTCAGAACTGAACTTGAAAGATAAATGTCCAGATTACCTTCCTTAAAATTTAGTACTGTCTTAGGTTGAGAAGCAGAAGCAGAACATAAACTCTTTTACAAGTGGTTTATTGAAGAATTAGTGCTCTTAGAAAGGGAGTAGGAGCAATGTAGACAAGCTAAACAAGAATGTGCTTCCAAGTAAGACTGACCCCAGCCTGATCTCACAAGAAACTCTGCAACAGAAACTTGAAGAAAATTGAAGCTCAGCACGGAAACAATTTAGAAGGCTGAGGCAAGAGGATCACAAATTCAAGGTCAGCCTTGGCAACTTAGAAAGACCCTATCTCAAAAAGGAATGATACAACTCAGTAGGGTAGGGTTCCCCCAGGTTCAATCCCCAGTACTGGGGAAATTTTTTTCCTTATGTAAGTCAGGGGCCAGTCTTTTATACTTTTGTCTGAGAGGTGGAAGTTGTTTTCTTTTTCTTGAGGTACTGGGAATTGAACCCAGGGTTGTTCTACCAAGCTACATCTCCAGCCTTTTATTTGTTTATTTTGAGACAGTTTTACTAAGGTATTAGGTGGGCCTCAAACTTACAATCCTCCTGCCTCAGCCTCCTGAATAGCTGGGATCATAGGTGTGCACCACAGCACCCAGCTTTTTTACCAGAATGTCTCAAAATTAAGAGTGATTGGAACCACTCAGAGGGAGCTGGGGATGTAGCTCAGTAGTAGATCACTTGCCTAGCACACCCAAGGTCCTGGACTCAATCCCTAGTACCACATATACAAACAGAATCATCCAGAGGGCCTGGTAAACTAGGATGCTAGGCTGATGCTCAGAGATTCTAACTCAGTATGTCTGAAGTGGAGCCTGAGAATGTATATTTCTAACAAGTTCCCAAAGAATGCAGATATCATACTTTGAAAAATACTGTTCTAGAGAAGAGGACAGCTATGGGGCTTCCACAAACACATACAGCTACTGGTGAAGGCAATCTGGGAAGCATCTACTACAGGTACTAACGAGATTTTCCTCAGGAAGGCATGTTCCAGGTATGGATGAACTAGGGCATCACTTGAGGATGGGAAGATTACATCTTTAGGTCAAACTATCTAGATTCATGATGTCCTGTATTTTCCTTTTGTCATCCTGCATCTCCCGCAAAGCACTGTTGAAACATTCCTGTTTATCTTAGTCTTGTTATTGTACATTAAGGGGCTGGCAAGTACATGAAGCTTTGAAGAGGGAACAGCTGGAATCTTCTAGGCAAGTGTACAAGGGTGAGGTGCAAGGAGTGGAAAGTTGAGAAAAGGTATGTATAAATATTTGGGGGCAAGGCCCTAAGCTAAACTTGGAAATTGTTTGATGTTTATATGTTAAATAAAAGGAAGATGGCTTTTGATGACAACTTTTTAATTTCGTGAGCCCCACCAGAGCCCATAACACAGTCCCAGACTCTGGGGATCACCACCAGGTGAAGGTGAATATATGGAAGCAATCAGTGACCTTGGCCCGGTGTGCATGATCCAGGTAGTAGCTCCCACAGGACACCTGGTAGCCCTGGGCCTTAATGTCCATCTCCACACAGTACAGAAGGTCCTTGATTTCTGGGCCTACCTTCCAGGGCCCAAACTTGACAACTGGCATCTTTCTGGCCTCCAGAGAATGCAGGGGCTGGGCACACCTTGTGGCTTCCTCCTCAGTGCGCATCACACACACGACCACACTTGACTGGCGTACTGCCACGGCCTCTGCCCTTGCCAGACGCAGCAGGAGCTCTAGATTCTCACTGTAGCCAGGCACTCGCAGCAAGAACTGCTTCCGCGCCACCTGCTCACCAAAAATCTGGGGCGTGTCCTCCAAGAGCTTGACCAAAGGCTGGATTTCATAGAATTGAGCCTCACGGTATACCTCAGGGATGTGCTGTGTAGGCACCTGCCCACTGCGTAGGTAGTCCAGAATGGCCCCAAAATAGGTGCCAGGGCGATCGATGAAGAAGCGGCCCTCTGCGTCAGTGCAGGCCTTGGTTGAGCTACAAAACATCTCTGTCAGCTTTGAGCCTGGGAGTTTTCTCAGAGTCCCCATGGTGGTGGTGTAGATCTGGCCTCCGATATTCAACTCTACAACGGTGGATACCTGGGGGCAAAAGCGGCAGGGTGAACCAACAGCACCATCTCCAGAAAGCTCATGATTTCAATAACCTAATACAGAACAACCTTTGTCGTTAGGTATTGGAAGTTCCACCATACTGAAAGGAATTATATTTATACTGTGTAGCTCCAGAGGGTGGATATTTTAAGGAGAAAAAAAAGACTTCAGATACAAGAATGCCTATTCAAGCCTTTTATTTTTATATATATATATATATATATATTTTTTTTTTTTTTTTTTTTTTTAAGTACTGGGGATTAAACCCAGGGGCATTTTACCCTGAGCTACATCCCCAGCTCTTTTTATTTTTTATTTAAGGAAGCATCTCATTAAGTTGCTCAGGGCCTTGCTAAATTGCTGAGGCTGGTGTCAGACTTGGATCCTCCTGCCTTATCTTCAGAGTCATTGAAATTACAGGCACATGCCCCCACATCCAGTTTCAAGCATTTTAACTTCTTTAGATCAGTGAAAACTGCTGTGGAAGTCCCAGTGATAATATTTCCAAAGTATGTGGCCTTTGGCAAGCCTTTTCTCCTCCCTGGGTCTGTTTCCTTATCTATAAGACAAGAATATGCCATTTTTTATGGTACTGTAATAGAACCCAGTGCCTGCCATGAATGCTAGGCAAGCACTCTACCACTGAGCTACATTCTTAGTCCTGAGAACATTCAGGTCAGGAGTTCCCAACCTGGGATGCTCAGATCTATAAAGCAATTTAAATTAAAGAAAGTAAAGGGATGGACATGGTGATGCACACTTGTCATCCCAGCTACTCAAGAGGCTAGGTAGGAGGATCACAAATTTGAGGCCAACCTGAGCACCTCAATATAAAAAATAAAAAGGACTAGTGGTGTATCTCAGTGGTATCATGCAGCTGGGTTCAATCCCTAGTGTTGGGGGGAAAAAAAGAAAGAAAGAAAGAAGGAAGGAAGGAAGGAAGGAAGGAAAGAAAGGAAGGAAGGAAGGAAGGAAAAGGTGGGAGTGGGTGATGATCCCCCATCTCATTCCACCATCTTTCCTGCCCCCATGCACCCTCACATTTCAGAAAATTTTAAAGAACTAGTATTCATTCAGAAGTACTTCATGGATACTTACTATGTACTCACATCCTGTGCTAGGAATTGAAGACAAAAATTATTTTTGTGTGTATATGTGTAGTTCTAGAGACTTAACCCAGGAGACCACTGAGCTACATCCCAACCCTTTTTATTTTTTATTTTAAGACAAGTTCTTGCTAAGTTGCCCAGGCTGGCCTTGAACTTATGGTACTCCTGCCTCCTAACCCACTGGAATTACAAATGCCACCATACACTGAAAGGACAAAAAATATTTTATCATCAGAAGTTCTGATTAGCAGTTGACAGATCTTTGATTAATTTTAAAAATAGAATCTGTGGGCTGGAGATCTAAGTTGATGGTATAGCACTTGCCTAATGTGTGCAAAGCCCTGGGTTCCCTCCCTAATACTGGGGAAAAAAGAAAAAAGAAGAATTTGTTTTGATGGATGTTTTTCAAAATATGAGCCTGTGGGGCTTAAATAGGACTGGTCAGCACTAGATACAGTGGATGTAAAACTGCTTTATAAATTATAAATGTGCAAGGGTAAATTAAGTTAAGATGTCCAGTGGAATTTTTAAAAACCTCTCTGTACCAGACCCTGGGCTGAGCACGAAGGATGCATGTGAGTCTGCTTGGAGATGCCCTCAGCTAGTAGGAAGAGGGACATGGAACCAGACTGGGAGTTGTGTTGCATTTGAGGAAACTTTGGGTGTTTCTAAGGGATTTCTAAAGGATGTGATGGCTTAAGGCCCAGGGTTTTAGCCCTAGCACTGCAAACAAACAGAAAACTATATAATTGTTAGTACACATGAAGTGATACACCAGTTGTTACTTTTACAAACTAGCTTCCTAAACAACTTTTGTTATTTAAAATTCACTCATTCAATAAAATATGTATGTGACTACTTTGTACTTTGTGCCAGGTACCTGGGAACCAGTGATGAATAAGCAGGACATGGTCCCAGCCTTCACATTCTAGAAACTGCAATTTTATTGTTTTTGTTTTTGTGTTGCTGTTGTTGTTTAGGGGTTTTGGGCACTTAACTACTAAACCATGTCCCCAACCCTTTTTATTCTTTATTTTGAGACAGGGTCTCATTAAGTTGCTGAGGCTAGCCTCAAACTTGTGATATTCCTGCCTCAGCCTCCTGAGTTACTGGGATTACAGGAGTGCACAACCACACCCAGTTTGTACAGTGTTTTAAATGCTTTGTCTAATTCAATCATAACCACACTGCTATTAGAATGTATTAAATCCCTATTTTACAGATGAAGAAACTAAAGCTGAAGGAGGTAAAGTAAGCTGTTTAAGATCAACCAACTACTAAGAGATGATTTGAACTCGGGTCTGCTGTACTCCAAACTCACCTCCATTCTTCATCTCCTACTGATTCATTGATTTGACAAAATATGTGGAAGACCTATTGTTTGCAAGCCTTGTGCTAGGCAAATGATTAAGACACAGCCCCTGCCCTCAAAGAGCTCGCAGGGGAGAGAGAGAAACAGATGGCTTACACATGTAGGTGCTGAGAGGAAGACTCAAAGGTAGGAGGTGTCAACTTTTTGTGTTGAAGGTTTTGATTTCCTAAGGGATGTGATGGCTGCTGCTGCCATCTGCGTAATGTTAAAGGGAAGGCTGGATTCCAGACCTGGAGACTTTACAACTCATTGCAGGGTCAGGGATGGAGAAAGGGCTCAGGATTGTCCTTCAGTCTGATTTAGGTGCTACCTCATTCTCAACTGGCCTGTAGACTCTACCTCTAAGATTAAAGTTGTATACTGAAATTAAGAGGGCCAAACACAATCAAACTGCTGGAAAGCACTGAGTTGCCATGGCAACAGCTCCTACCAGGGAACAGTTGTGCTACTAGATGGGAAAAGGCAGAGGAGAGAATGCATCTTGTCAGCAGCTGTCAATACAGCTGAGAGAAATAAGCCTAGGATCTATGACTACTCCTTTCTCCCATAAACTTCAAGGGCCTTGGCAGGGCTGTTTGTTAACCCTGAGGTCACCTCTGAGAAGCAGGCAGTTAAATGTGAATTCGCAGACTTTACCCCGTGAATGAACCAATGTGTTCTCATTATTCCTGTTATCACTGAAAGCTTGCGGGTCTTTTCTTTCTTTGAGTGTATATGTGTTGTGCTGGGGACTGAACCCAGGAATGCTTTACCACTGGAGCTACATTCCCTAGTCGTTTATTTTGGGATAGAGTCTCACTTAGTTGCTGAGGATCTCCCTGAGTTGCTTGCAATCCTCCTGCCTCAGCATCCTGAGTTGCTTAGATTATTGGTCTGCTCCATCATGCCTGATTCACAGGTCTCTTAAAGGTCCTCATATCACAGGCAAGGAAAAGTCAGAGATGAGACTCATAATTAGGAAGTGACAAAGTAGAGCTGGTGCTGGCCATGAGGATATAGGGATGAATTAGACCCAGCCCACATCCAGTTCAAGCTATAGGGTCTCTACACATCTTACCTATTCCTTCAAACATTCATACATTTCGTTAGATCAGTCTCAGATGAATGAAAGAAGGGATATCTTCCCAAAATGTCCCCCAAGCCCTTCAAGATCTCTCACCAATCCACAACCCTGAACTTTCCCACTTCTCTACTCAGTTATCTGAGCCCTAGGTAATCTTGCATTCTGCTCCCACCCCTCAATTTTCCCACACACCTAATCAATCACCAGATCCTAGTAATTCTATTTGCCTGGTAAGTTCCATGAACCCCTGGACTCCCCCAGATCCATTCTCCATTCTGAAATCAGAGTCCCTTTTCTGAAGTGCAAAACCGATGTTGTCACTCTCTGCTCCCCACCCCCCCCCACCAGGGATTGAACCTGGAGGTACTTAACCACTGAGCCACATCCCCAGCCCTTTAAATTTTTTGTTTGTTTTGAGACAGGGTCTGCTAAATTGCCAAGGCTGGCTTTGGAACCTGTGATCTTCCTGCTTCAGCCTTCCAAGCCTCTGGGAGTCACTGGAATTACAAACATGAGCCACCTCACCCAGACACTCCCTGCTTTAAACATTTGAGTGATTTGTAATCCCAGCAGCTCTAGAGGCTGAAGCAGCAGGATTGCAAGTTCAAAGCCAGCCTCTTGCAATTTAGCAAGACCCTAAGCAACTTAACAAGAAAACATCTCAAAATAAAAAACATAAAGGATTGTGGCTATAGCTCAGTGGTAAAGTGACCCTAGGTTCAATTCCCAGTACCCACTCTCGTTCCAAAAAAAAAAAAAAAACACTTGAGTGACTTTTCATTCTCTGCAGATAAACTCTTGGATTCCTTAACCATGCTTAAAAGTCTCCTGGGGCGGGAATGGGGGCGGGGCTGGGGTTGTGGCTCAGTGGTACAGCACTTGCCTAGCATGTGTGAGGCACTGGTGAGGTGCTGGGTTCAATCCCTGGCACCACATAAAAATAAAAAACAAATAAAATAAGGGTATTATGTCCATCTACAACTATAAGAAAAAAAAGATATTGTGTCTACACACAACTAAACAAATATATTTTTTTAATGACATTTTTAAAAAGTCTCTTTGCAACATGTCAACTGCTTGGCCTTTAGTAATCCAAGAATAAAACCACCTGCTTGTTCTCCTTCAGGACTTCAATCACTTGCCTCTTCCCCTCCCCTCACTGAGTTCTCATCTTTCAAGTTGTTCCCCCAGGAATCCTTCTAATAGGGTTGTCTCAGGATCCCACAGGACTGAGTACTTCCATTGTTACAGCCGTTTCCTTCTTGTAATACCCTGTTTATTCATCTGGATCCCCCATTACCCTGTGTCCCTAAGGAAGAGACTCCTAATTCATCAGTATGTCACATGCTACAAGGCTCAGCACACCAGGGATATTCGATAAATGTCTGTTGGATTGATTCACAGGAGCACCTGATATTCTGATAAAGGCCAAATCTTGCCCTACCTGGAATCATTCTCAGTGCTGGCTCCATAAATTGCCCGCCTTTGCCCAGGAATTTGTTATTTATTGAGTACCTAGGCAACGAGCACTGAGCACCCTGAGTACACAACATCTAGAGCACACAGATAATGAGCTAGTGACTCTATCAACAGCTAACACCAACAACACTGTCATCACTCTATGGGAAAGACCCGTACTCTTCCCCACTGCTAATCCCCTTTCTTTTCCTGCAATATTCAGGACGGCACTTAAGCCAGGAGAAAATTAGAATTTTTTGCTTTTGTAGTGCACAGGGGCTTTTTTAAAAAAAATAAAATAAACACACACACACACATATATATATATATATATATATATATATATACACTTAGTTGTAGATGAACACAATACCTTTTATTATTTATTTTTTTATGTGGTGCTGAGGATTGAACCCAGTGCCTCACATGTGCTGGGCAAGGACTCTACCACTGAGCCACAACCCCAGCCCTACTGGGACTTTTTAGCAGGTCCCATAGTGTAATGGTTAGCACTCTGGACTTTGAATCCTACAGGGGCTTTTTTTTTTTTTTTTTCCAATACTCTTTCCAAACTCCCTCTCCCAATTCCTGGGGACAAATAAGCAAGCAGGGGTATAACAGTGATCCCTTGCCTTCTGAATAAAGCCCTAATTGCTCAAAGGCTTTTTTGTTTTTTAATGTTTTTTTTCTCTCTTCTCCCCTCTCCCCCTCCCTAACAAGATTAGGGAGACAGTGATATCCTAACTAGGAGATATCCCCTAGTTAATTACCCTTGAACACTCCCACTACTGGAAGAGATACCTGCTGAGGATCTGGGAAGTGAATATTAGGGTACCCTGGGACCCCTATCAGAGCACACCTGGAATGTAACACTTGAAGTGTTTCTTTAAACACTCTCACCCCCCATACCTTCCCACCCTCACCCCCCCCCACACACACACACACCCTGATCCAGAGAGTCACAGCTTTGGGGACAGGAGTCCCCTGAGTTTCTCCTTTGCTAGCAAAGCACTAAACCTTCTTTTCCCTTTTTCTCAAACGTGTCCTCATTATTAAATTGGCATTGGGGACAAGGACCAAGCTTTTCGTTACAGGGGGACTCAAGATCCAGGCAGAGGGCAGACAAAGGCAGGCTGGAAATGGCAGGGGAATCCCATGGGATTCCCTTGGGCTGGTTGAATAGACTCCCCCATCTGGGGCAGGGGAAAGGGAGAGAGAATAAGAACAGAGCACTACACCAGAGCCAGGGGAATGGGGATGGGGGTCCCGGGGGACACGCCACACACAGAGTGGAACCAAAACAAAGGACACAAAAATCAAGTGGAGAGGGAGGGCGGCGAAGCGGTGCGGTAGTGCACGCCGGTAATCCCAGCGCCTACAGAGGCCGAGGCTGCAGGATGGCAAGTTCCAGGACAGCCTCAGCAACTGAAGCGAGACCTTGTCTCAGAATAAAATATAAAGAGCTAGAGCTGGAGCTCAGGGGTAGAGTGCTTGCCCAGCATGTGCAAGGCCCTGGGTTCAATCTCCAGCGGAGGAAACGAAAAGGAAGGAAGGAAAAGAAAAAGCGCAAAGAGGAGAGTCTGCACAGAGCTAAATAGGGACCAAGGCGCGAAAGCAGAACCAGCAAAGCAGGAGGGACAGCCACCGAGGACAAAGGAGAGAGCCCAGCCCAAGGCAGAGGGAGACAACGCCACTAGAAACGGGAGACAGACGGGGAAAAAAAAAAAAGCGAAGGAAAACCCAGGTGGCGGGAGAGAGCCAGAGCGGAAAGGAGAGGGAATATAGCAGCCCCAGCCCACCCGTCCGCCCAGCGAAGCCACGCACTCACGGTGGGCGGGCTGGGCCGCATATTCTGGGGCGTCGAGGTCAAACTCATAAGGGCTCGGTAGACAGTTAGCACTAGGAACCCCAGCAGCATGCAAATAACTCTGGCGGGCGGAAATGCACCCAGCTACCTGCGGCTGGGCGGGCCTGGGCTGGGCGAGGCCGCGATGAGACCCTAGGCTAGGCACCGCCCCTTCCCGGGCCTGGAGTTTCGCAGCGAAGTGGAGATGGCCAAGGGAATTGATTCTGACAACCAGGGACTGACTGACAACTCCCTACAATGATAACTGGTGAAAGATCATCAATTCCCATTTTACAGATGAGAAAAGTGAGGCTCTAGGATGTAGGATGGGAGGTGTGGACTACTTTTCCACCTCCGAGCAGCTGCTAGGATTGCAAAGCATGACCAATTTTGAAAAGATATAGGACTGATATTTTCATTGTTAAATCATAACCTATAAGCAGGGGAGAGCATAACTCCCCTTCCTCATGTGTGGGCTATGCATAGCAACTAATTGAAGAGTACAGTATGGGAAGGGTGAAAGAGAGGAAGCTTTGCTGTTGTGAAACTGACAACAAACTGAAGTATTACTACTTCAGCCAGGTTATCAAGGTCAACATCAACAGTTACCAATCTTGATCATGGTATGTACATTTGATATGTGATGCAAACGATCTTCCTCCAAGCAGGGCATGATGGTACATATCTGTCTAGACAACATAGAAAGACCCTGTCAAAAGAGAAGAGAAAGAGAGGAGGGGAGGAAGAGAGGAGGAAAGAAAGGAAAGAAAGAAAGAAAGAAAGAAAGAAAGAAAGAAAGAAAGAAAGAAAGAAAGAAAGAAAGAAAGAAAGAAAGAAAGAAAGAAAGAAAGAAAGAAAGAAAGAAAGAAAGAAAGAAAGAAAGAAAGAAAGAAAGAAAGAAAGAAAGAAAGAAAGAAAGAAAGAAAGAAAGAAAGAAAGAAAGAAAGAAAGGATATCTACCTCCTAAAAACCTATAACCCCAGTCTAATAGTAAGAAAAACTTCAGGTCAGGCATTGTAGTGTATGCCTGTAATCCCAGCTACTGAGAAGGCTGAAGCAGGAGTTACTCAAGTTCAAGGCCAATTTAATGCGACCCTGCCTCAAAATAAAAAAATTAAAAGGACTGGAATCTGGGGATGTAGCTTAGTGGTGGAGCACTCCTGGGTTCAATCCCTAGTATTGGGGGAAAAAAAAAAAAACAATGTCAGACAAATTCCAATAGAAAGGCATTCTAAAATATAGCTAACCAGTACTCCTCAAAAAAAAAAAACTATCAAGGACATCAAAAAACAGGGAGGAGGGCTGGGGTTGTGGCTCAGTGGTAGAGCACTTGCCTAGCATATGTGAGGCACTGGGTTTGATTCTCAGCACCACATATTTAAAAAAAAAAGGGGGGGGGGGGGCTGGGGATGTGGCTCAAGCCAGTAGCGTGCTCACCTGGCATGCGTGAGGCCCCGGTTGGATCCTCAGCACCACATACAAACAAAGATGTTGTGTCTGCCGAGAACTAAAAAAGAAATAAATATTAAAAAAATTCTCTCTCTCTCTGTCTCTCTCTCTCTCTCTCTTTAACAAAAAAATAAAAGTCAAGTCCATTGACAACTAAAAAAATTTAAAAATTAAAAAAAAAAAAAACAGGAAGGAAAATTTGAGAAGCCCTCACTCATAACCAAGAGTGGCTTAAAGAGACACAAGACTAGATGGGATAATGAAAAATAAATAAATAAAAAACAAAAAACTAAGGACATATAAATGTTATTGACTTCAGTTAATAATAGTATATCAAGGGACTGAGGTTGTGGCTTAGTGGTAGAGTACTTGTCTCGCACCCATGAGACACTGGGTTCTATCCGTAGCATCACATAAAAATAAATAAATAAACAAAGATATTGTGTTCATTTACAACTAAAAATATTTTAAAAATAGTATATCAATGTTGGTTCATGGATAAATGTAACAAATGTACAATATTAAAATACAATATGTTAAGGAACAGAGAACTGGGCGTAGTGGCACAACTCTATAATCTCAGCAGTTTGGGAGATGGAGTCAGGACAATTGCAAGTTTAAGTCCAGCCAGAGCAACTTAGTGAATTTGTAAAATACTAGGTGAAAGGCTGCCGTGGTAAAACGCCCTGAGTTCAATCCCCAATACCACAATAAATAAATAAATAAATAAATAAATAGGAAAACTAAGTGTAGTATATCTGGAAACTTTCTGTACTATCATCTCAATTTCTCTGTAAATCTAAAACTGTTCAAAAAAAAAAATAAGGTCAGGCTGGGGATATAGGTCAGTTGGTAGAGTGCCTGCCTTGCATTTACAAGACCCTGGGTTGGGTCCCCAGCATCACACACACACACACACACACACACACAAAAGTAAGTTCTAAAAAATCAATTTAGTTAAAAAAATAATAAAAATTTGACCAGTTGGGAAATCATATAGAGTTTCCTCAAAACATCTAAAATAGAACTATCATAAGATCCAGCAATTCCATTTCTGACTACTTCTCCAAAGAAGTAGAAAATAAAGTCTTGAAGAGACATTTGTTCGCTCATGGTCATAGCAGCATTATCCACAATAGCCAAGAAGTGGAACCAGCCCAAATGTCCATCAAGAGGTGAATGGAGGGCTGGAGTTGTAGCTCAGTGGTAGAGAACTTGCCTTGCAAGTTCAAAGCACTGGGTTCGATCCTAGCACCACATAAAAACAAATAAAGGCATTGAGTCCATACACAACTAAAAAAAAAAAAATTTAAAGAGGTGAAGTGTAATATATAACACAATAGAATATCATTCAGCCTTAAAACAAATAACATTCTGACACATGCTCCAACATGAAGTTCTTTGAATGAACCTCAAAGACATTATATTTCAAGCTCCAGTTGTGGCTCAGTGGTAGAGCACTTGCCTAGCATATGTGAGGCACTGGGTTCAATTCTCAGCACTGCATATAAATAAATAAATAAAACAAAGGTCCATTGACAACTAAAAAATATTTTTTTAAATATATTTTTATTAATTATTGATGGACCTTTATTTATTTATATGTGGTGCTGAGAATCAAACCCAGTGCCTCTCACATGCTAGGCAAGCGCTCTGCCACTGAGCCACAACCCCAGCCCCTAAAAAATATTTTTAAAAAGACATTATGCTAAGTGAAATAAGTTCCACAAGAAGACCATACTTTATGATTCTTATGCAGAAACTAGAGTAAAATAAGAGAAAAATGGGAGGGGATCAGATGTCATAAAGATTTAGGGAAGATCAGTGGGGTATAAGAATATCAGAAGGGAGTGAGGAGGGACAGGTAAGATGAGGAAATGTAGAATGAGTTTAGCAAACTTATACTGCGTCCATGTACAAATATACCACAGTGAATTCTACCTTTATGTATGTGTATAAAGCACTAATCAAAAATTAAAAAAAAAATAAGCAAGTGAAAGGAAGATCAGTAGAGGAAGTAGAATAGGGGGAAAGAGAAGGAGAAAGGGGAGGGCACAAGGAACTGAAATGGAGTAAATAAAATTCCATGCACGTACAATTTTGAAAAAGTATAAATGAGAAAAAGAAAAGGCAACACCATAAGACTAGCATAAGATATTCCAAGAGGAAGTCAGTTTTTCATTTTGGGGAATCTGGCAAGGCTTCATGTAAGAGGGTCATCTTGAAGGAGGAAGAGGTTTGTGCAAGAGAGGTCTGAATGGCATCCTTTCCAGCAGAGAGGTAAGTTGTGCAAAGTGAAGGAGGAAGGAAAAAGGAAACTAGCATGTGCTGAGTACTGACAGTGAACACAGATTCTCATGCCAATCCTTCCAAATAGTTAGAATTGCTGCACAGATGAGGAAACTGAAGCTTGGGGGAGTTCAATGAGTGGCTCAAAAGTCATACTGCTGGTAACTTCAGGAGCCATGTTTGGACCCATGTCTTTTTCACTCAAAAGTTCTCTCCCTTTGCCCGTGAAGAATCGTTGGGTTACGGGGTATATTAGTCCATTTTCTGTTACTAAGACAAAATACCTGATGCTGTGTACTTTACATAGGAAAGAGATTTATTTAGCTCACAGTTTAGGAGGCTGAAAGTCCAAGATCAGGAGGCCCATCAATTCAGCTCTTGGCTGAATTGGGTTATAACATGGCAATTGGCATCATGGTGAGATTATGTGAGAGAGGGAGAGATCATATTTCAAGATCAGAAGCCAGAGAGACACTGAGGAGAAGCCAGTAATGACCTCTCACTAGGTGCCACCTCTTAAAGGTCCCACTACATGTTAACACACCATACTGGGTACCACGCTTCCAACACATGAATCATCAGGAAACATTCTCAACCATAACACCAGGTGAAGTATGTTCCTTAATCATTATAACACTCCAAAAGTGTCCAAGCCATGGGGAGGGACCTGTGATCTCTTCAAGGCAGGCTTCCATGCTCATTGTGCCTGGTTGGGGAACCTCCTGTGAATGCCACACGGCACAGTGCACACTGTCCTCTGCATAGTCTGACTCCTCTGAAGTTGATCAGCCACGTGGGTCCAGATGATTCCACAGGGAGGCAGACTTCTGAAGTGTATTCACCCCAGAAAGGAGGGCTGCCCATTCCAAGGGGCAGTGGGTGAGCACCAAGCAGCCTGGGCTTTCAGGTCCACTTCCTGCTTCATCGCCAGCGCCAGCCCCCTTCTCATGCCTTCATGCCTTTGTTATGTGTTTCCCCTTCTTGGAATTGCCCACCAGTCCATTCTTCTCTGCATGGAAAACTCCAGCACCACCTCAAGACCAAATTTAGATGGTCCTCCACTTCATTTTGTATCTGTTATGGTTTGGATATGAGATATCCCTCAAAAGCTCTTGTGTTAATGCAGGAATTCTCAGAGGCAAAATGATTAGACTATGAGAACTGTAACTGAATCCATCCATTCTAGTTTAAATAAAACGACTCTGTGGTTAACTATAGGCATGTGCGGAGTGATTGGAGGAGGGGGCCCACTGTGAGCTTGCCCTGGAAGGGTTCATCTTCCCTGAGGCCCTTCCCTATTCCCTCTCTGTCTCCTGGCTGTCATGAGTGGAGCAGCTTCCTTCCACCATACACTTCCGCCATAAAGTTCTGCC